AAACCCCTAAACCCTAAACCAGGCCCCTGGCCTCGGAGGTCCGGCCCGTGGCAGCAAGTGTCGGTTGACGCCCTCCCAGCCAGGATACCTCCGGAGTCCAAGTTGCCGATGCAATTAGGGTTCCTTTAAAGGTCTCCTTACGGTGAAGTCAGGGTTCTATAAAGGCTACTAATTAGAATGGGGTTTTGGGGCCCATCATGCTATAACTAGAATAAGGAACCCCCCGAAATGGTACAGGTAATTATTTAGGCCCCTATATTAAGCTGCCACTTAAAGAGAGAAACTCTTGACTTCACTCCATGCCAACGGAGCCTCGCCCTCACCGACTTTCGCGGCGTATCGAAGGGCGCCCCGACCTCTGACATTGGGAAAGATCTGCAGGATCCCTAACGTAATGCAGGCGCCTGAATAATTAGAATAGGGCATCGGGGTATATTGTGCTATAATTATAATACTGAACCCCCCCCAAAATAGTATTGGTAACTAGTATAAGGCCCCAAGATTAGACTGTGGCCCCCTGCCGTCTTGCGCTCTTCACGGACGGCCTGTAAGGGTGATGACCACACTGGCGAGTCGGATGCCTTGGACACCTGAGCTCAGCCGGCATTTTTTAGAAAACAGGACCTCGCAAAGCCCACAGATATACCCTAAGCCCCAAGCTACCTACTATTTAGGGTACTAGAGCCCCTGGCAAATACCTACTCTATAGGGTACTAGAGCCCCTATAGGGTCCCTATATTGTAGGTATTTGGGGGGTTGGGGAAAAGCCTGAGTAAGAATCCTAATCCAGATCCTGTAGTAAGCCCGGTATAACCTCCACTGCCACCATAGCACTGGGGTGGGATACGCAGTCGAAGATGCGGAGAATGGCAGCCCGTTACCTGCCTGAGCTCAAAGCCACGACAAGGGCTCAGAGCTTCGGATAGCAAAGCGACAGCGGTCACTGCTGCTGTAGTTCCTGCTTGTGCTAAATGACCAGTACACTTATTGCCAGAGGACGACCGTAACTCTTCTCGTCTTTGCTTTACACTTTCTCGCGACGTTCCATGAAATGATGTGAGGTCTTCGAGAGCTTGACTCTTGGGTTTTCGTCAGGTGCTCTCTTCTCTCTTAACTTCACTGAGTGTAATGATAACATCCCTTGAACCCGAAACCTCCGGTGACCTAAGTAGTGGGCAACTTACTCGGCACAAAATGTACACTCCAGTAACTAGGCCGGGGCAGGGCTAGCGAGTTGGAATTGCCCATCAGAAGATGGCCCTGAAAGACGCCGGTGACATGCTTCAGTGTCGTAAAGTATGGCATAGCATAGTCTAGTATAGTATGTTATAGTATAGTGTAGTATAGTCTTGACTCGCTTATCAACCCTCTGACATCCCAGGCGTGCTCGATCGAGCGACATGGCGCTGCGCCCGTGGTGTCGTGACGTTTCGTGTTCGGAATTATCCCGGCGTGTCCACGTGCTCAGTAAACGCAGCGGCATTGGCCTAATGTCAGCCGGACGCATGGATGGCTCCTGGACCGTGATGGCTGGATGCCTGGCCGCCCGGATGGATAGACGGACAGATGGCTGGAGAGATGGGTAGGTGGATGCATGCATGGATGGAGGGAGGGATGGGTAGGTGGGTGGATGGATGGATGGTTGGTTGGCCGGCTGGGGGGATGGCTGGATGGATGGATGGAGGGATGGATAGATGGTTGGCTGGATGGACGGATGGATGGAGGGATGGGTACGTGGATGGATGCATATATGGATGAATCGATGGATGGTATTCCGTGTTACCTGACTGCTATAGACAGTTTCGGGGCACTCGTTCTCTGATGTTCTTCTCTTATCATGGTCACGAGTGTCACAGACCTGGTCATTACCAACCCAGTGAGGCCTCACCTCGAACCGGTTGCCGAGCGATTGGACCGCAAAGTCAAATGCATTACTCATACTGCCGCCAAGATGCCGCTATGATCCTCTGCATGCTCGGGTCACCTGTTTTCAATGAGCGGCCATGCACATTCCGCTGCTACTACCGGCTCATCGACACGAACAGCACGACAATCAACAGCCACTCTTCGTGCCGTATGGTAACGCTCTGATCATGATTGAGTGTCGGGCCAATGGCACTGGGATTGCAGCTATCAGAACCTCTTACACAAAGGAACAAGCCTGGGACCGGCATAGCAGCATTTGCTTTGATGCTGCTTCCAGGTGGTACCTCCACTGGTGATGCGGCACAAGGGCTGCAAACAATGTCCCGAAGCAACCTCGAAGTAAATACGTGAGCCTTCTGAAAGACTTCTATTGCCTACACACGACTCATGACGGTAAGCCTTTCTCAAGGAGTGCTAACTTCTGGTTTCGGTTCATTTAAATTTCGTTGGATCTCACTATTCCGCGTGGTTGGGCCATAGCCGTCCGGTAAGACAGCGGGCCGAGAACCCAGTGCAGGATGTCCCAAGGAGCTTCAACAGGTCGTAGTGACAAAACGTCTAACTCTTCCATCGCTATTCAGTATCTCAGTGGATCAAACAAAGCCAAACGAGCTCCAAACCGAAAGGCCCAAGTCAAAAAATCGAACAAAAACCGACCGCCATGAAAAGCGCACCAGGGCCGAGTGCGGGTAGACAACGCCTGACCCAGGCCCCGTGGGTGCCATCATGGAGCCTCCGCAGCCTTGGAATATGTAGTTTTCTTCTGGTGAGGCCCCGACCCTTCAGAAGGAACAAACAAAACTGTTCTTCACATATGCATATATGGCATGTATATAAAAACAATGACAAACCGTTACATACACACAGACGTGTATGAATGGGTGTGTGTGCATACATACAAGTAAGTGTCTGTGGAGAGAGGTCTGCATATCTCTATACGTATCTGTATATATATATATAGATACCTCTCTCTCTCTCTCGCTCTCTCTCTCCCTCCCTCTCTCTCTCTCTCTTGCTTGCTTGCTTGCGGGGCGTTTGGAGAATGAGGTGGACCCTCACCCCCTGCGCTCTCGCGCTACGCCGGTGTTCGTGTCCGGAGTCGGCGTGACTCTCTCTCTCTCTCTCTCTATCTGTCTGTCTGTCTCTGTCTTTCTCTATTTAAATTTACCCTTGTTTGCCAGTATTTACGTTGATCATAGTACTTCCTTATATGTGGTAAAATTCTTTCATATCCACCTATCCACTTGTCTCACACACGATACACATAATTGCATACATACATATATATATATATACACACATTGTCATTATCGTTATCACTAGGAATAACTTTTTCTTTGTATGATGATCAATGTTGTTGCTTGTCATAGTAATAGTATTATGATTCTCATTATCTCAAACCAATATGAGGACTATATTTGGTATTGCTATTATGACTATAAGATTATGAATAGTATGATTAATAACAAGATTGTTGCTAATATTAATAATGTTGTTCGCATTGCTCTTATCATTGTCATGATTACTGTTTATGTTTATTGTTATTCGCATCAGCGTTAGCCGTGACACAAACATAGCATTCGCATTAGCGTTACTATTCGTGATCGTATTAGCGTTGTCGTTTTCGTAGTAGTAGTAGTAGTAGTAGTAGTAGTAGTAGTATTTAGTATTACTACTCACATTACTATTCGTGTATTATTATCTTAATATTGCTGTTGCCTGTTTATTCTTATTCTAATGGTATTTACATGGAATATACATGCTTGCATACATGTACATGTATATATATATATACATATCGCATGGTCAATACGCACACAACAGGATATAAACTGCATGTAAGCATTCACTTATTGCGAATGCCACCATTGTTAGGGCTGAACTACTTGTATCTTTCCCAATTTTGCAACGTCTAAAAGAGTCTAAATCTAGTCGCACCGAGTTGAGTCGTAGTGGTACTGTCACCCCTGCGCCGCCTGACACTGTTTCTACAGGTGTGAAGGCCTCGAAGTGCAGTCCTAGATTTAAAGAGCTCTGTTTTAATTTTTCAGATAACAATAGTAACGATTTAAAGAGCTCTGTTTTAATTTTTCAGATAACAATAGTAAGAATCACAAGACCAAATTTCAGGTGGGCTTTTTCACAGCCTGACAAGCAGTCAAGCAACCACGCGGTGTCACCAAGACGGACATTCCTCCGACCTGCAGCTGCTTAGGGTTTAGGGTTTAGGGTTTAGGGCTTAGGGCTTAGGGTTTAGGGTTTACAGGGTTTAGGGTTTAGGGTTTAGGGTTTATAAGGTTATAGGGTTTAGGGTTTAGGGTTTATAGGGTTCAGGGTTTAGGGTTTAGGGTTAGGGTTTGTGGCAGGGGGGTTTGTGGCTTCGCTTCAATGGCCTTTCCTGCGCAGAAGTCTAAAACGTGACGTCTTCTGAGCTGCTGGCAGAAGAAAGGGGGGTCCGTGGAGTCGAGCACCCACCTGAAATTCGGTAATGTTATTATTACTATTATTATAGTATTATAAATAGTACGATTCATAATAAGGATTCTGGACTTCAAAACTGCGAGGGCCTTGCATATGTACACCCTCGATAGTGTCCCAATTCTAAGCACCTCTAGAGAAACTACGCCTCGTTTTCAGAACCCTCCTGCTTGAAGCAAACAAAAACCACATAAACCCTACCAACCACAAAACCTAGACCTTGAACCCTGGACCCTGAACCCTGAACCCAAAACCTAAACCCTAAACCGTAAACCCCTAAACCCTATAAAACCTGAACCAAGCTTCAACCCGGGCACTCGAGGGCACAGGCGGCTGCTGCGGCACGAAGAAGGGAGAGCTGCCTGGTGCAGTCCCTGGCATGGCCACCCTCGGCACACCCAGGCGAGCACCTCTGGGCAACATGGCTCCATACTGTACGGTTGATGATATAAATCCTGCATTACCCATAATAAGGAATACACCATAATTCCCTATAATTCCCATCGACTAGGGTCCTTAAGGTAATGCAGGTTTTTTATCATCAACAGTAGTTCATCATGACCGGGTTTAGGGCTTTAGGGCATAGTGGCATCGTGTTTCACGTTTACAGGGACAGGGATCCTGCACGAAGTGTCACTCCCCTCGCATCCACGAGTACTTGCAACTCAGGAGATTTCCATGTTGTACAACAGACTAGAAAGGTTGAGGCGAGAGCTGTCAAAATCAGCTGTCTGTCGCAACAGGCTCAGAAGCCTCACTGCCTTTTTTTCTTGGGTCGCGGCTGGCTATGATGATGTCCCTTTGGCCACTGCAGGCCCTTACAGAACCATGAAACGTTCAAGCGCCCGAGTTGCCACGTCCCTGGCCTCCAGCAAGGAGAAAGAAGGGTTCCTAAACCTGACCTGTGGTCTTTCAGATTTCACTCTGTCTTTATCCTGAACTTGCGGCAGATTTGCAGGACGGATGGATGTAAAAATCTTGTCAATTCTATCGGTGCATGTTAGGTTAACCGGGACCAGGCCTTTGGCTGCAACGCGACTCGGTTGGCGCCGTCTGGTGCATTTCCTATATCTCATTCTTACGCAACCGGACTCGCTTCCTTAAACTGGATGGAAGGTACCTGGTGCGAGAGCGAAAAACCGTCTGAAATGATGCAGAACAAGTTGAACCTATACGGAACATTTATATATATATATATATATATATATTTATCAGATTCTCGTGTGAGTTATGTGAGTTGACACGAAAGAAACCTTCATTTGCACTCAGGGCCGACTCATGCACACTGCTGAAACGGTGGCCATTGGCCAGCAGCCAGTGCACAGTCCTCTTTGGACATGACGGACGGCCGGGACATGTCGTGGACTAAGGAAAAAAGGTGACTTGCCAACTCCTCTTGCTGGGCTGAGCATCTTGGAAGCAAGGGCTTCAGGTTGCAGGTGCGCCTGACACCGCAGCCGCCTACAGTACTCCCTTGCTGGTCCCTTCACTTATCTTGCCGACGTGGCCGATGGTCTACTGCGGCTCGGCGCTGCCTGCTATTGCATCAGCCTAAGCACCAAGCAGAGCGTCAGCCGTTTCGCATTTCAACCTCAGCTGCTTGCAGGATCTGATGACGGCAGGGAGATGCAAACAGAACAGTCCAGAAGCGAGAGTAAGGCTCCCCGGCAAAACGAGTCCCGTCACGAGCCTTCAGCCATGTTACGCACTTTAAGTATGCCCCGGACCCCGTGCATGTCCAAAGCCAGAAACCCCACCAAAACTTCAAAACACCAAGCCCAAAACGATCCTCCACTAAACCCAGCAGTCTTGTCACGCCATGCTGCAACTTGTCGGAACCCAGGGCTTTCTCAGCAGCTTCCACTGGTGCAAAGACCAGCCCTGTCCTGCGAGGCATGTCATCTGTGTCCATTTCTCGTGGTCTAAGGCTGGTTTAAGCTTTTTTTAGTCCTGTTCAACTGTAGGTTACATCACCTCGGCTCTAGGATGCTGGACGGTGTTGGGCTCAGGGCTTTTACGATTACGCCCAAACCTACAAAGTGTTTTTTGGTCTGGGAATCTAGGCCTCCGCTCCGCGGTGCTAGGGCTCGGGCTTCGAAGCTTTGGGTTTAGGGTTGCGGGGACACCATCGGCGCACAATCCTCTCGTACACCTGGATGATTTTTTGCACTGGTCTGTAGGATAAAGATCAGTCTAGAGTCTAGATCGCTCGAGCTGTTGTGCTTGTGGTCGTTGCTGGCGCGAAGATGCTGCTTCTGCTGTTGCAGCTGCCGCTGCTTCTCCTATTTTGTTGCTGTCGCTGACTTCGCTGCGAGCTGACTGTCGCTGAGCTGCGATGAGCTGATGCTGATGTAGACTCAGGCATGATGAGCCCCTGTTGATGACGACGACACTGATGCTAACGGTAGGACAGAGGCTGCAGGAAACTCCGATTGTAAAGATACTGTAACGAGGATCTTGACTACGTCGTCGGTGATGCTGTATGCAATATCATGTCTGTACTGACTCGACACAGTTCTTGTTCGTTTGAGCATGGTGCTGTACCACCTGAACCTTGCATATCACAGTGGTGGGGATGGCTGCCACCCCGTTGCCCTCTTAAACAACAGCGGACTCGGAGCGCCACCTCGGAGGCAGATTGATCTTGAAGAGGCCGGTGTTGAACTCGCAGGGTGTGGACACTCGGCTTGGGGCTCTTCTCCCCCCCCAGCAGTGTTTGGCCTTTGTCGTCGGCTTCAGCAATGGCTCCTCCTTTTCGCCGCCGAATCGTGGATCCTGAGAGCAAGAACCAGGTCGCATTGAACTTGAACCGGAAAACCTGGAAGCAGCACTTCAGACCGAAAGTGCGCGAAACAAGCAGCCTCCGTATCCAATGCGACGACAACCTCTCTTGCAAGATCGGTGCCCTGGCGCGAGAGCTTTCGGACTTGCTGCTTGTACCCAAACGATAGTCTCGCACGCAAACATGACTCAAGCGACTTGACCACAACACTTGCCATCGTGAAACAGGAAGTGCCTGCAGCAGCTACTGCTGCAGCAAGAACTGGAATGCACAGAACTATACAACAAGGAAGCTGAGCCTAAATATACTGATAATCATGTTCCGATCGAAAAAGCAGGAAAACCATGGCTGCAGTCGACTGCATTCCCAAAGCCTTCCTTAAAACTCTCAGCAAACGCTCACAGCCCTCATAAACCCTAAACCCTAAACCCTAAACCCTAACGAAACCCCGAGCCCAGAGCCTTCGGCAGGTCTATTCTGAGGTCGGTCTGCTCATCGTGGGGATGGAAGTTGATGGCAAAGATGCAACCTCAGGCTTTTGGCTCCGGGATTAGGATTTCTATAAGGACTACTGCTGTAGACTATAAGAATTACCAGAAGAGCTGTATGGATCGGGGATTAGGATTTTAGGTATCAGTTCTGTGGGGCTCCCGTTTGGGTTTGTTTTATGTTTGGAGAATAGGATGTAGGGATCAGGGTTTATCCAGCGAAGTTAGGTTGCACGTCGCTGGTGCGGGCTTTGCACGGCTTGATTTGAAGGAGAGGGCATCGGGCGTTAAGAAGCAAGCCTTCAGCAGAATCAACTGGCAGGGGAACTTTCGAAATATTTCAGTGCAGCAAATGCTGAGGTCTGTGTGATAGGGCTATATCAGTCAGGCAAGGCGTAAAATGAAAAAATACATTGGGTGGAGGGTTAGAAGATTCCTACACCCCTAAACCCCCAAGCCTTATAGTAAACCCCCAAAAAGTTGGAAACCTGATTAAGGACAAATAGTGCCGTGGTTCCTGTTACATGACCCTTAGTGATTGAGGCTACTGGGTTTCCAACTTTTGGGCTGCTACTGTAAATCCTACCTGTAGTCTCCATTGTAGTTCCTTTTTTTGGTTTAACCATTTTTATATTAAGGATCCTATAAGGTAACCCCAAAAAGGAACTACAATGGAGACTATAGGTAGAAGAGTGACAACATTGGAACCCATTTCTGTTCTGGCCCGTGCCCCTGTGCAGATTCCTGCTCTGGACTAAGTCAAACCGAAACCGCAACATAGGGAACCGTGATGTGGGTGCGTGAACAATTAGAATGAGGTTTGGGCTGGTTCATTATAGTAGATGATATCATGTAGATGGATTAAGGCGCCTCAAGGAATACTGTTGGCAATGATTCGGGCTCGCAGGGATCTCCTCAGCCTCACACCACTCCTGACCCATGCCAGAATCTTCTTCTCCTCGTCCGCGGCGACAATGGTGTACTTCGGCGACTTGTACCACCTTATGGGAGGGGTCGGGGAGGGAGAGGGCTGTGTTCACAACTCAGGCTCCCTGTGTGGTAGATGTTCCGATCAGAGTGAGTTGGAAACGCTTTGGTGTTGGGCTGGGGGGGGGGGGGGGGGGGG